AATAACCTTTTTCTTCCATGACAAATTGTTTTTCAACTCTGTAGCTCATTCATCTTCCTGTTACTTCTTTAAAAAGGAAAGAATTCTGTTCATCCTACTTGAACCCAGTGTTGCTGGGAGAACAGGGGCAGGCAATCTTAAAATGTCTTCCTGTTTCCCAGAAGTAGAGAATTTGTTTCTGTCAGCTAACGCTCAGTCGTTTTTTTCTTTTTTTTTTCTGGTTGGAGAAAGGCCTCGTAGCCTAAGTATGTGTTTGTTACCATTTCTTTCAATTACTCCTAAATGAAGCAAAAATAACCTCATTGAGGAACTGTACATGCTCCCTTCTCGTTATCACGAAATCGAAACTGTGCCTAGTGCCCTAGGAAGGAGCAGATGTAGAACTCGCGGTCCTTGGAGGGATTTCTGAGCGGACGTGCGTTCTATTACGTGTGTACTAATTCAGTCCTGTGCATGCTAGTTTGTAGTCACAAGCTTATTATGTCAAAGTACAGTTTATAATAGTTTTTTGACAGGCATTTTTTTGGGGGGGTTGGCAGAGAAACGTGAGGCGTGCCCGCCTCCTGCTCCATTTTCAGGTATTTACGTCACTGGCCAAGCGCGAACAGTATTTCCCCACAAGTGTGTTCTCGTCATGGCTTAGGAACCGGCTGGAGGGTGACCATTCCCTGGGCTGCGGTCCTCAGATGGCCAGGCCACGGCCCCTGGAACACTTCTAGGACAGACCCGCTTCTGTCCCCAGGGCAGGCTCTGTTCTCAGGCGTCTGACTGGATCTCAGTTGCACACGTGGGGAAAACCAAATCCTCTTTAATTTTTTTCACTTTCAAATTTTATGTAAATCATACCCGGATGGTTGGTGGTAGCATGAATCATTGTTAGTACTGTAGAAGATGCTTAGGAATTCATTTAAAGTATTACAGAAGTATACACGCAGAACCTGACAGTACATGTGCCCCGTACACCTGCTGTCACTGGGCTGGCAGGCCCGTGTGGTGAGCGGCCTCGGCGTGGGCTTGCAGGGCCCTCACGGCTCAGCCGGGCCAAGTGGCTGCCCACGGTGGCAGGGGACAGCCCAGAGCCCGATGTGCAGTTCCCACTGCCAGGACCCGCCCCGAGAAACAGGCATTCCACCGACCACTTCCGCTGCCTCACCCCGGCGGGGCCGAGGCGTCCCTTCAGCCCCAGGTGTTCCCTAGACCCGAGTTCGTGTCACCCAGGAGCCCCGCACAGGAATGGCTGTGAAGCCGTGGGATTTCCTCCCGGTGCTCACCCGCTGGCTCTCCAGGAAGAGCCCAGTCTGGCTGCACGTTGCAGCGTGAGCGTGTCGTTATGGCAGGTCCATGTGGGGGAGGCAGTGCGTGCGGGGTGGGCTCCGTGTGGGCCACCCGGCCAGAGGCCTTCGCCTCAGACTGCCCTTCACCCACCCTGCTCCCCCAGAATTTCTCCTCTGACCTGTCTCATGGTGTTTCTTTGATGCTGCTTTAATTTTGACGGATTTTGGCACACTGTCCTCTGTAGCAGTCGAACCCTTTTAAAGTCTTTTACAAATTAATTTTAAGTTTTCGAAGTGATGTATGAATATGGTCTCTTCCTAAGAAGTGGAAAACGTGAGAGATTACCGCTAAGGTTACTTCTGATCCCACCCCCTCCCCGTCCCCCCGTCCCCAACCCCACTTCCCACACTCAGGCCCTCCTTCTCCCGGGGCGTCTGTGGTTATCGGCTGGGTACGTCTCCTAGTCCTTTCCTATGACCTGGCAGATGTAGACCAGTGGGAAGCCGGCATTCCCGGGTGTGCGCGTCTGGGGGTGGCCGTGCCGTGCTGCGCCC